GAGTTTTATAAAGCGATTCTCGAGCTTTATAAAACGATTCTCGAGCTTTATAAAACGATTTCTCGAGTTTTATAAAACTGTTCATTTTGTATTCTTGCGGAAAGTTTTGGCTATTAATTCCGTCGTACCGATTTTGACCCCAACAAGAAATAGGGTGGAAAGACAGTGAAAATATAGTAACTTTGCTTCTTTTTCTACATTTTACAAATAAAATTTCTAGCGATTCTTTTTATAAATAAAGTGATTCATATATAGAGATCGCAGTGTTAGAGTATTTCCAATGTAAGACTCCATTTTTTCCTCCAAAATGGAGTAAAAAAGAATATGAAGTAAAAATGCTACAACCCTACTCAATTTTCTACTCCAAAATGGAGTGATGAACAAACAAAAAACAGATTACTCCATTTATGGAATAAACTCTATTATGGAGTAGAAAATGGAGTAGGGTTGGAGTGTTTTCTACTCCATATTTCCGTTTACTCCATTTTAGAGTAAAAAATGAAGTTGGGTTGGAGATGCCCTTAGATTTGGACTACGGACCTAGTCTGAAAGCAATGGTATTGAACTTTGATATTATAGATCCGTAAAATTGCGAGACTCACATAACATGTTTTTGTGGGATGAATTTTTTTGTGGGATGGACCTTTAACGAGATGGACTGAAACATTTCATGCGAGAAAATAAAGATCCGTAAATATTATATTTTAACTTCACTTTCCACTTGAAAAAGAAAATGATAGGATGAAGAGGTGATTCAGTTCTTTCTCCACCGATAGAACTGTAGGACGTCCGACAATAAGAGTGAAGCTCTGACGGTGGTTCTAGTCTTCACGTTGTCTCTGTATACTTGTATGTAATCTTATTTTCCGCAGACCGACCTACAAAAGTCTATATATTTGGCGGGGCGGGTTGATACGCCCTAAATAGAATTATTCGACCGGACTGGTAAAGATATGAACTCAAAGATGAGATCTGGTGAAATGAAGGGTTGCACAGAAGTTGCGGGAATGGCTGTTGATATTCCCGAACTTGATTGTTGCCTGATATGACACACATGTCCAAAAAGCAATCTCGATTCGTTGCTTGATATGACGCACAAGTTCAATGGGAAAGAGAGTGTTTTCTTAGATATGACTCACCAAGAAACAAGAAAAGTTCTAAACAAAGAACAAAGAGAATGAACTCAAAATAAGAAGAAAAATCGATTGTATTACTCCATGAAGGGAATTACATATTTATAGTACTTGTGGTCAAAAAGAGAAATAAAGAAATTTTGGAAAAACAAGACATAGAATATCAAAATTTGACTAGGAAGTTTGCAAGATTTAAAGAAAAACTCTTTGTTTCCAGATCTGGTCAAAGAAGATCCTTCGGCTACTTGAACTGGTCAAAGTGACTCCTCGGTTCCCATCTGGTCTTGGCGGAAAGGAGAAGGACGCACGCGGGGTGATCGGTTTGGTTCATCGGGTGATCTTCACGAACAAGACTGGTCCAAACGTGAGCCAAGTCTTCAGACAGTTAGGGCATCCTTTCCTTAGAGAAATTAAGATGATCAAAGTTCATGTAGTGATCGAACTTTCCAGTTATTCCATCAGTACGGTCATTGGGACATGCGGTACAGACCAAACGGGACAGAAGAGAGTAGCTACGGTCTGAGTCGGATTCTTCTTGAATCAAGTTGATTCTGGCTCGACCATCATTCTTAGCTTGGTGAGTTGGACGGGAAAGACGGTTTGTCGTATGGTCAGTTGGCTCATCTGGACGTGGTTCCAAACTTAGCTCCATTCTAGACGTACGCGGGTCCATGTGATACACGACACGGTCAGTCTGATCGGTACGGTCAGATGAACGAACCTCGGTTGAACTGTGTTGAACGGCCTGATCTCTATTCTGGTCTGGTTCCATGTACTGAGGCGCATCACGGATTTAGTCAGCCATTTCAGAAACTGCAGCCTGTGCGGACCTGACCTGCCGTGGCCAGCTTGAAGACAAGCCCCTGCAGTACGGAATGAAACGGGACATGACAACATATTTTCCATTTCTATTTATATATATATATGGATTGACCATCTATCTTATATATTACTTAGGGTTCATTCAAACTACCGATGTGGGACCTTGGTCCCTAATACGACCCCTCGGGATGATGGCTTTTTGAGCATCAATCTCGGAATGTGTTGGCAAGGATCGATGAACTGACTTTGGACTGGATCGATAGTGGATTGGGTTGAAAGGCGTGGATCATGAGTTCTGATACCATATTAGTCATGTGCCTAACTTACACCCAAAAACTAGCTCAAGAGTGGAGAATTGCCACATCACATATATATTACCCAAAAATCTTTAATACCACCATTGTGGAACTCTAATTGGCCCTCTCGAAATGTGGTGGAAAATGATCCAATAAAAACAACCAAACCTAACATCTCGGAAACACACAGTAATCTTGACTACTTCTACTACATGCTACATAGGTAGAAAACTGTTTATTTGAAAATCATATGTTGGGCCATACACCATGGCTAAAAGGAAGATTCTTGAAAGCTGGCGATAATTTTGACTATGACCTATCATCATCACCAAATATGAATCACTGAGTTTTTGTTTGTCGAAATAACTAACTTTACTTTGTATGCCTGCTTCTCATGATGATGATGATCATATATGAGTACTCTTATACGTGGTAAAACGGTTTCTTGTAGGAAAAGTAAGACAACCTCTTTATCTTATTTGGGCTAGTTTGATTTATTGAATCTAGGAAATCAACATGCTGCAGCAAGGGAACATTGGAGAACTTCACGAAGAATCATAGATGTAGTGAAAGTGATGAAGAGGGTGGAAAGCAAAAATGGTGAAAATATAGTAATTTTGCTTTCTCTTCTTATAGAAATTCAGTTTGGTATTTGGATTTTTTTCTGTAATAAGAAAGATCATAAGAGCATCATTATCCCACAACCCCTAATGGGTCTCTTAATTAGTTTTTAGTAATAAATGTGTATTAAAAACTTTGTTTAAGAGACCTCTAAATTTTTAACTCCAGTGCAAGTTTCTTATTTATGGGTTCTTAAAAAATAAATGACTTTGTGAAAAAAATGTCTACACAAGATTAGTTTGCGTGATAGAGAATGAAACTGTTGAAAAGGTAGTCTTTGTTGAGAGATAGAGATGATTGAGACACAACAAAATGATACGTACATATATATTATTGGCTTCATGGGTGAGCGAGAGTCTGCCGTGTTGTCCTTCATCATAATTCTACTCTTCTCTTCTTCCTTCACAACACTCACTCTGTACCGCCACATAAAATAGCTAGCAATGATGCAGCATTAAGAATCTGAAGAATTACCTTGGCGATGATCAGTTTATACATGTTCAGCACATCAACAACAGTGGTATGGAACTGTGTTGTAGCATCATAACTCTGTTTAAGACAGGAATAAAAGGTTACTAGAACTAACTTTAAATGCTGACAAATAAAGGCTTTTAAGCAGGCATATACCCTTGAAACACAAAAGGGTGATCATTTCCCAAAGGCAGAGAAGTTGATTACTTTTGAGTTTTGAGGTGCCAATCTATGATATGAAACATCCACATATATATACACAACAATGGAGAGAGAGAGATGCAGAGGTATGAGAGGGGATTTGATACGGATGGAAGTAATACATACGGCATGAAACTTCCATAACTGCATCATACTCTCTACTCTCTAAGCAACTAACCAAAAACAAACTTCCATTTTTGAATTTGAAATCGATATGAAGGAGATCGCGTCGAGGATTCTAAAGCGTAAGGCTGAGCCGAGGCTGTTCGCCCGGAAGAAGCTCCGGTCGATTCTTTCATGCTGGAAGAGAGTTCAGATCTCTCCAGTTCCTATCCAGCCACCTCTCCGTCGGTTCCTGCTCCAATTTGTTCTCTGCAGTCAACGGCAACGTAACATGCGGTTCTAGCAGAGTTGAGAAGAGCTCGAAGAATCGTATTGAAGAGGAAGAAGAAGTTTCTAGACCTGGTAACGATGTGAAGGAGAAAACGATTACTGATCCGAAATTTCGGAGGATTACTAGACCATGCAATTTTTCTTTTCTCCTTCTCATAAAAAGCCAACACGTATCCTCAAGATACGTTTGTTCCATCCCTTTTTAGGATACATATTTTCTTGTAATTGCTATTTTTTCTTTTCATTTAATCCTAATATTGTTTAAGATACTCTTTAAGATACATGGATAATAATGCAAACTCACGATATTGCTTGTTCTCCATTGACAGATAATTTCTAATTTTTTTTTTTTTTTTGATAAATAAACTAGAGGGGTTAGACCATCCACAACGGCGATCCTTCTGAATCCTTAGCACAAACACATATGAGTTTCCGGTTTGGAAATTACAAAAAAAGGAGAAAAGGTAAGGATCAATCCTTACATAGGGGTTTTACGGATCGGGTCCGTATCGACGTGGCACGGAGTGGGGGAAATGTGTTGCGCGTTGAACCAAAAAAACCAGCAGTCTCCTCCGATAATCAAGTAAGTTTCGAATTCAGAGATGAAACTGGAGTTGATTTGCTTGTTTAATCATAGTCGTCTTCTTAGATTGATTCTTTTTCTTCTTGGTTGATAATTTTTTCAATTAAAATAGCTAGGGATTTGAGAAAAAAGTAGTGACGACTCGGAAAATATCAAGCTCAACAGACCGAAATGAGTCGTTTCTTCCTTTTATTGGAGATTCGTTTCTGTGTAGATACCCCCACTGAACTGAGCCTTCTCTTTTTTATTCGATCTTTTTCTTGAAATCAAGTTTTTTTTTTGTTTCTAAATGGATTAATGTTTTGAGTTTTGGGTTAAACCGGAGTTTTGGATTAACGATCATCTCGTTAAGTGCAATAGTGCTAAAGGATTGACCTTGTCTCAGGTTAGCTACTAAAGGTTATAGCTTTGTAGAAATTTGAACCTCAGATCAAAGTGTGATGCATTAATGTGATAATGATAAACCGGAGGGGAAGATGAATGTGTAGTAACGCCGTGAGAGCAGCGGTTGAGGGGTCAGGTGTAGTGATCTGCGAGAGAGACGTGTCCATGGATAGAGGATTTAGAGAAGAGCTCGCAACTCTGATGGCCAAGAGGATCAGTAATAGTAACGATAAGCCTTCTTCTTCATTGCCTCCTAGGTTGTTTGTGAAAGGAATGTACATTGGTGGAGCAGAGGAAGTGTTGAGATCTGTCGAGGAAGGTGTTTTTGCGGAGATGATACGTGGGATGCTAAGTAAGAAAGGGGGAGGATGTGGCGGAGATGGAGATGGTGCTTGTGATGGATGCGGTGGTTTGTTTTTCTTGCCGTGTTTCTGGTGTAAGGGAAGCTGTAAAGTTGTGAAAGGATGGGGTAGCTCTGCCGTTGTTGTGAGATGTACGGGGTGTAATTAGAATGGTCTTGTTCCATGTCCGATTTGCAGCTGAGAGAGACTGAGTGAGAATACTCTCTTTGTTTTCCCCTCTGTTTCTTTCTTAAGTCTCTGAAAGCTATGGATGAAACAGCAAACCTTGTTCTCTCTTCTGTATAATTCAACTTCTTCAACTCAAATACAATCTACAGATGCTTCAAACTTTCTTTGGGATTCTGGTTTCTCTTTTTGGCGTAATTGGAGTTAAAGCCATGAGTACTCTTTTTTATGGTGTAGGTTCTTGAGATAAGCGCTTCCATGGAACTGAAAGAGAAATCAAGTACAGAGTTAGACAGTCAAGATGATGAAGTTTCAGACATCTCCTTCGAAGTGCGACTGGAATAGGAGAAGAAAGACTCCTTTTGGTTAGTAACTCTCTCTTTCGCTCTCTCAAACTTATTAGTAAACCAAAACTATTTGCTCATCAGCCTTTCAGAATAAGGAGAATAAACTCATATTCTTGATTGTTATCAAAAATTAAGAAGGTTGGAATTTTTTTCCTTTGATCAACAACATGCTCATGTTTTTAAAAAAAAAAAAAAATTCTAAAGACTCTTAAATGGAATCCACCATTGAACTTATTTATTTTTTCTTACAATCTTTAACTATTCAATTAAAAAATATTATAAAATAATGGCTAATGACTCCTTAATAGAATCCACCATTGTGGATGTTCTTACAAACTCACGGTATTGCTTGTTCTCTATCTTTTTGTTTTGTAATTTGTAACAAGAAATATCGAGTCTTTTGCATATAATGTCTTCGGACTAAAGATCAGAACAAGTCAAGTTAGTCATCCTTATCTTATTAAGAATAGTTCTTTCCTATATATACTCGATCAGTGAGTTAAGTTTTAACGGGCCATTCAGTAACGTTTAGCATTGCATGACGAAGGTGTTCCACATGTGAGAAGTTAACCAACAAAAAGCAAAACACAGACTCTATTATTCCCCACTACCTGGAGACTGTAAAGTTTGATTGTTTTTTGCTTAAACTTTGAGTTCAGTGATTTGATTTATTAATTTTGTTTTAATATTTTTTTTTCAGATTCTAATGCAGTAGCATTTTTTATTTCCATTTTTAATCAATACCCATTTCTAAAAATTCTAACTATGAGCTTCATAAATTAAAAAATTCCCAGATTTTTTCTTAATAGCAAATGCATTAAAAATCCTTGGAATTAATATATTTTCTTTTGCTAACTAGGAATTAATATCTTACACCAAAGAAGACTAGATCAGAGAAACACAAACGGAACCTCGTTATTACAACGATCTTGTTCACTCCGTATAGTTATATCCTCCACAGTGGCTTCTCCTGCTGTCGCCGGCGGTAAAATAACGTGATAGTTATCTCCGACGAGGCATCGGCGCGTGATTTTATAACATGCAGTGCATAGCACGCGTCTCACGTGTCTCCAAGCAAGAAAATTAGCTCCGTGAACCCACCGGTCGCATTTTCTACAGAGAAAAGCTGAGTCAGCCTCGCAAAACACGGAAGCGTCACCGCCACAAAGTTCACACCTAACCGGAACACTCGGTCTCGTGCAGATACTCCGGCAACCTCCGTGGACGCTTCTGTGCTCTTCTTCGTTCACACCTTTACACATTTTCTTTCTATATTCTTTTTCTATCTCTCTCTTGTGGTGGTTTGAATTAAGAAGATATTTAAGTTGCAAAGACGTTAACAATTTATATATGAAGTTTAAAGGCATGTGAAGATTTTATATTTATTTTCATGAAGAATAACGTGTGTGCTGTGTTGTACACGTGGATGAATATTGCTCAGTTATTTTGACGTAAATGCACTCGAAATGGTAAAATCGCCAATTTCTGACAAGTTTTCTCATCCAAGCAATCTTTTTGTCCTTGTATTGGATACACAACTTTCAAATTCAAAAAAAGACAAAACTCCATAGTACCTCCTTTACTTACATTTAATGCTAATTGTATGCTAATTGTTTAAGAGTAACTAAAATCATCATCTCTCTTCTTTCTTCCTTCTATCTCTCTTTATTCTCTTTTCTAAAATTTGTTTACCTTTTTTGGTTATTTGACAAATATCTCCTATTAAACATTATGTTTATTTTTGAGAATATTTGCTGAAACATCATATTAGCACCTGTAATTAGCCGAATACACACGATTTGACAGAATTTAAAAATAATGACCAAATTGACCTTCCTTGCTTCTCGGCCCTACTTTCTAGTCCTGCGCCCGTGGCCCCACGTCTGCGAGTGTAGCAGTCAACTTCCTCTTTAACCACAAACAATATTTATGTTTCAACCGTCCACTTTCAAAATTTAAATTAAATTTGAATTTTTATTTTCCATTTCTTTTATTTCCAACACAAAACTGATTTTTCAGTTTCCCATTTCCATTGCACAAAAGAAACTGTAAATCTCATTCTTGAGCAACCGTTATTCTCTTCCTTCTTTTGTGATTGTTCGATGGAAGATCTGCTACTTCCTCTCCGTATATTTTCCTGTGGTGATGAACCTATCGGTGAACGAGTCAACTCGTATCACAGGACTCGGAGAACCGAGTTGCTTATTGAATCCCTAGACGAGGAAGAGATGGAGTTCTTAAAAAATTCCCAGTTCTCCAAAGTTCTAGTTTTAGACGAGAATCCGCCTTTTTCTGGCGCTTTTGGTCATTTCATTCTTGTGAGGATGCTGAAGACGAAGAAGAAGTACGAGATATGGTTGATTTTCGCCGGAAGACCAATCAGAATTTCCCTTAGGGAGTTTGCTACTGTTACTGGGCTTAATTGCAACCGGATTCCTACTTAGACTCGGAAAAAGAAAGAATCTTCTCAAAGAGAAACTGTATTGGAACGAATTGTTTGGCTCTCTTAAATCGTGTTCTGTTGATACTGTTATCGAGATGCTCAAGACCCACAAGGTGAAGAATAGGAACACCCGGATCAAATTTGCATGTCTAGCAATTACGGCTTCAATTCTACTTCCATAATTTCACACTCCGAAAATTGTTCCGGAGCATGTCGAGTTAATTAGGGATATTGATGATTTTATTTCATATCCATGGGGGGTATTTCTTTTGAACTTGTAACATCAATCATACTTAAGAAGGATGCGGTTCCCCTCGCTCAAGACTCTTTCGCGGTAAGAGGTTATGTGGAAGCTATTCAACTTGTCATGATTGCTGCTGTCCCTGCTTTGAAAGAAGAAGTCATCACCAATGCCCCTGTAGTTGTAGTTGTAGTTGAGTCTGATAGTGAGAGTGAGAACCCGGCGGATGAGGATCTAGTCGCTGGCGATGCTTCGGGCAATTTGAACAAGGTTAACTCCACGCCAAGATGGATTGTTAATCCCAAAATTGCCAGGGACCTCAACGCGGAGTGCCAGGTTTGACATCCTACCATCTCTTTTTTACCTGTTATCATATTGTTTAACCGTCACTGGCCTTAATAGTTGTTAACTAATTATATAACATCTATTAGAGTAAATTAATGTTCCTTAATCCCATGCTTCTTTTGTTTCACTGTACCTATCATCTGAATTACATAACAAAACTATTCTTAAGTGAATCAGTCTTATTTAATTCTACTTCTATGTAATTGATAGTTGACATGGATATTGATTTTGTTTTTTAGCAGCTAATGACTGGTTTGACGGGTAATATTAAAGTTAACCACCATCCCCTCTGTTAACGCGTTTATCCAGGTGGAAGTTCAATCCATTCTTGATGCCCCAGATGATGATTGACTTTCTGAGCAGGACTTTAGTTGGGTTGATGAAAGCGACGACCCTGCCGTTGACACGCTTGTTAAGCTCATTAACGATGGGTTCGTGTTCAACAATGAGATGTTCCGTGGTGGTATTTCCTCTAGTGACCTACCAAGACCAAATGTCTCCGAGCAAAGGGAAAAGGAGGTCAAGGATAGACATGACAAAGCAAATGTCGGTGGGTCATCTCAGTCAGCGGGTATTGGTGAAGCCATTATTGAACCTTTAGCTAATCTAATTTCAGAGAAATTGCGTGGCGACATGGTTGGTATGGAGCATAAAATAGCAGACGCTGTTGAGGAGAAGGTTGCCGCTAGTCTTGTTGGAGTTGGGGGTAGACTAAACACGACTGTTATCAAATACATGCAATCATTGGAGAAGGGAGTCATCAGGGCCATAATTGAGTTTTTGGGAAAGTCTACCTCAACAATTCCAACTGAACACGACATTCCCCAAAGCGATTTTCCAAATCGCACCCCGGATAAGGACAAGGACAATGAGGATGCATCTCATGAGGATGCATCTCATGCTGGAGATGATAACGAAACCTCTTCCAAACCTTCGGAGCCTAAGGAGGACGACCCAGTTAGGCGGGTCCTAGATGAGATTCAGGCATCCTCCAACAATGAGGAGGTAAGATTTCTGTCCAACTACTAATTTTTTTCCCTTAATTACACTAACATTTCATTTCTTCTACTTGCAATCAGTCTACTGAACACGAACACGCCGTTTTACCGGACTCAGCAACACAACTCCCTCTAGACAATGAGAGGACAGAGATACTATCTCACGAGGTAGCTTGTACTATTTATCATATTAACAGTAAATAAAAGTATTGACTGCTAAAGATTATTGTAACGGTTAAAGTTAACATGAATATTTACAATTTATAAAACTTGTCATATAGCAGGAAGACGACAATGTCTCACCTTCTCATCGTCTTCTGGAAACCTCAAGCGGCAACACCTTGGCTGCACCAAACCCGGTATTTTCCCTTAAATTTTTAAAATAACCTACTGTTAACCCTATAATAATTTGTTGATCCTTCCATACATACAGTCTTGGATAGAAGCACCTTCTTTCTCGATAGACCTAACCAAAGAAGAAAGAGCTCTTCCAATTCTTGATCCACAACCGTTGGGATATGTTCTCCCCTCCGATCTACAAAACAAAGACAACCTCGATACTCGAAGAAGCAAGCGTTCAAGGGTAACATCAACAGTTTACCAGGACTTCCAGTTAGACCCCAAAGTCAATGCGTGTTTCTGCATCCTACCCAACATCGCCATATTGTTTGAAGACCTTCAAAAACATGTATTGCATAGTGGGTAAGTTTACAGTCACCTTTTATGTTTACCGTTACATAATTCCTTGACTGTCACTAACTAACTTATTCGTTAAATATGTCAAAAAAGATTTGTCCATATCGATGGCCCTACTGCACTTATCGCCAAAGAGTTTCTTGATATAGCTTGGCGGTCTTCTCATATTTCGCCCCAGGTAATTACATTTTGCACTACTTTACTAACATTATACTTTATTTGTCATACTAACGATATTTCTACTTTGTATAAGAATATGGATGCGTTGATGCGTTACTTGTCTGACGAGCACGAGACAAGTTCTAACTCACTCAGGGTGTACGACAGTAGCCTTCCTGCTTCTTTGATGCGTCATTACGGAAGGTTTGTCAAAACGGCTGTCAAAGAGAGGATTAAATTCAAGTTCAATGATGATGTTCTGGTGAAACTACGTGAGAACCCAGCTGACCGACTGTACTTCCCATTCAACATTGATCAGAAACACTGGGTTTCTGTGGTTGTTGACATTAGGATCGCGTTCTTCAAGTCATGGATTGCCACATTGCTATGAAGACCGATGGTGTGCTAAAAAAAGAGCTCAACCCGATTGCTAATATGATGCCATATCTGACAAGAGGTTGGAATCCCGAAGCAAGTAATGAGAGCAGCAATGCATTCACTATCACGAGGCCCAGAGACATTCCTCAATCAGAAACAGTAACCGACGCTGCGGCTATGACTTGTCTTTTTATTGATGCTCATTGCCAAGTGGGTGTGGAAGGTGCCAAAGCTATTACCCTGCGTGTGCTTCCGGATGCTACCAAACAGCTGGCTGTTAAGTTCTTCCGCTTCCTATCCAGGCCTCCTAAAAACCCCTCCTAGACTTAAGCTATATTTTATTTTAACTGTTAAGACAATGTTTTCATGTTTTAATTTTTAAACTCAACCGCTTATCCCGGATCACATTTGTCTACTAAATCTTTTTAATTACTTCGTTTCTCTTAAAGGTTAACTGCCTCTGTAGATGTTAAACGAGTTAATTAAGTCTTATAATAGTTATGCCATCTACCTAGTATATTTTTCTCATAAACTAATATTTGTTAACAATTTATCACTAATAAATTTACAAAACCCCTGGCATTTATAAACACACATTTGAGTTCTAAATATGTTACTCATACTATATCACCTGTAATATGCCTTTTTCAATTTTCGTTACGTAAACAGATACCATTAGCGGTTAACTAACTTTATTAACGTCAAACAGTTTAGTTTCCGAATATTACAATGGAGTCCAATACACTCTCTTCACTGATCGTACATTACAAATTTTTTTCAATAATGAAGAGCTTTGGGGAACAATAGTATCATATTACATATCCAAAAGCAAAATGTCGCCCTAGATCAGACCTTCAAAAACAAACATTCCTTCCATTGCACCTCCACCGAATAATTAGCCTTCCTTCTAGATAGGAGTTTTACAGGTGGCACGGTTGTGATCCGCACCCCCGCATCTGGTACAAGTCCTCCTTCTCTTATACGCACCAGTTTGCTGTCAAATTATCCATTAACGGTTAACGACAACAGTAAATGCAATTTCCGATGTTAACGTAATCATAGAAATCAAGAACTATTA